GGGCCGCACCCTCTACGGCTTCGGGGGCTGAGCGCCCGGGACCCGCCATATTTCCAAACACAAAGGCCCTTTTCAGGGCCGCCCACAAAGTCACTTAAAGGGCTGTCGTGCTTGCGGAAACGGGATCGGGGGCGTGTAAGACTTCCGCAGGCGCAAAACTGGTGAGCAGTAGGATATTCTTGTGTGCGGTACTGTAGCAAGTCTTGTGACGTTTGGGTACACTTTAAGATTTTCAAAGAAATACACCTTGGAGTAAATAGGTCAGTAAATGCCGCCAATGAGAGGGTTCCAGAAGGGAAATGCGTTCTGTTCCACACAAACGGAAACAAAAGATCTTGGCCAACGTCCTTCGGATTCATCCGCATGACCGGAAGCGTCCTGGGCACAAAGCTCCGGTGACCGCAGCCGCGGCTATGTAAATGCAGGTCCTCTGAGGACAAGCTCTGATTGGGTGACATTCGGTGTGGCAGAAGCTGCGGAGGGTGAGATTCCGGGGCCATTTTCCTGTTGGCCAGAAAGGGTTTCATAGCTGTCCCCGGAGCCGGAGGAAAAACCTCTGTTGGTTAACTTTGCTTTTAATCCAGGCGCTACACCAGTACTAGGAGCAAAAAGCACAGAGGCTCCCGGGACCAGTTCTAGACGGATTCGCGCGGTGCCGGGGGCCTGCTGGCTGCCAGGAGCAGACCGGGGGTCAGTCCACTGCGGGGCACGGCAGTCCCACGAGGTACACACGGCCTTGCCCGGCAAGTGAAGCGTATTTGGGCGCTGCAGCTCCGACCTGGAAGGGAATCGCCGCCGTGTGCAAGCAAGACATGGGCTGTGCATGATTCTGTACGACTTCAAACCATTGTTTATTCGTTCTGACAAAATTGTCAGAGGCCCAGTTACAGAAATGAATTTAGAAAGGCCAGGCTCTAGTGTTCTCTTCAATACATGGTTATATGCAAAGGAATGCGTTACATAATTCTGCATTGGGCTTTGTGGGGTTGGCCCCAATACTACCAAGGCCCCAAATAAATCAGCAGTATGGATTTCGTACTTATAATCATCTTTAAATAAGAATGCCAGTTCCTAAATTGAGAGCTGGAATAAACGAACTTTTCTTAAAACGAAAAAAGATGCTTTGACTCAGACCCTGAGAATTGCCTAATAACAGTTTTTGTTAGGTCCGTTCGGACCCTAACAACTGTAACCCCACCATTTCCATACAGGTTTTAGAGTTAATATTCTTCAGCCTGTGGAACACAATCTGGACAAGCCTGTACACTCTCTTTGTAAATAAAATACATAGACTTATAATTAGACTAATCCTAAAATGAAGCCATTTCTTAATGTGGCAACATAGTATTTGGAAATATTGAGGATAAGCGCTATTGCAATAGTCTCACAACTGTAAACTGAAAATACTTCTGCTAATCAAGTGAAAAATCGCCCAGATTTAAAAACTTCCCCCTCATCCGGTTTGTTATAAATTTTTTAAAAAATTTTATGTTTGGGGCGCCTGGGTGGCGCAGTCGGTTAAGCGTCTGACT